TCTCTCTATATATACATATATATATATATATATATATATATATATATATATATATATATATATATATCCATCATTTTCATTTTTGTTATGATTCTTTATGTCGTGATTCAGCAAGGGACACAACTTAGTTTGTATGATTACTCAAAAGAAATATTTTATGGAAAAGAGACGGAGGATTGTAGTCGTCATCTCCTATGATGCTTTTTGTTAGATCCGCGAGGAGTTCTAAGTCCTGAGTCCCTACATAATAGGTCAACGTCGGAGAGGGGAGTTCATGCTTGACCCCTTTGAAGTTTAAGTCAGTTTTATAAATAGTCAATTCTATCCCCCAATATCTACCTAGGGATGGTTTTTATATCTTTCGTAGGGAGTCGGCTGCCCTTGTACTTGCTAGTGTCTATCGATATTTTCATCAGACAATTTTGTCTATTCTGAGGCCATCCTCCTGACCCCATGTCTTGCGAAGTTCTATCCTTACTAACAATTATCGCTTCGTTCGAATGGCGTGGACATGCTGTATGTCGCTTCGGAGCCGAGCAATATCGCTTCTAAGCCGAGCTGTGTCACAGTCGTTCCTGAATCGATTTGTGTCATTTCATACTGCTTTAAGATATATGCCCATGTCTTGCGGGGTTCTATCCTTACTAACAATTATCACTTCGTTCGAATGGCGTGGACATGCTATATGCCGCTTCGGAGCCGAGCAGTATCGCTTCTAAGCCGAGCTGTGTCACAACCATTTCTGAATCGATCTATGTTGTTTTGTATTGCTTCGAAATATTTGCGCTACTTTGACTTGAGTGGCATCACGTGTGATTTGAAGTGATTGCCAATTAGGTGGTACCATAATATCCTATATCAATTATATATATAAATATAATAAAAGATCATGATATAGGTAGATACCAAATGATAGTTTTTTATTCATTACATTCTTAATTAATTTATGATTTAAGCATCAATCACATATTTGAGGGTATAAGGATTGTGTAATTTGAATGCATGAATGAAAAAAATCTCTCCCTCAAAATTTGTATAAATATATTTTACCTCAATGAATAAAATCACTCATCTTCTCAATAAATTTTTTAATTCTTCATAGTACCAGAGTCCTCTTTGCGTAAAAAAAAAAAAAAACTTTTTTCCTTCGTCCCCTTATCCCTTCCCATTAGAACTTATTCCACTGCTATTACTACAATAATAAACCCTTGGTGATCTGTACCTATATTGGAGTTTCTCGAGGGCACCTACTCCCTCATCTTTCTTGCCGTCGACAAGCTCTTTGTCGTCGATGGCTTCATCCTTGTCACTAAGGTTTTCTTCGGATATCCATCATGACTCCCACGACTCTGTTTATCGCAACTCCCCGATGTTGTCGCTTACTATTGCTGCCACAAAAAGCCATCTCTTTCACTCCATCAACTTCTCTTGCGATCACAGACGTCGTCATCACCCTCACTAGTACTATCGTTCAATGCACACCTGGTTGTCAACCTTTTTATAAGCCATAAATATTGCCATCGACATCGCAGGTGTCTTCAGACACCTCCTTCGATGCAGAATCCAGATCTACAGATCTGAGATCTCCCAAAGTCAAAGTCTTACCTGTGACTTATCGGTGTCCTTGATCGTTGATCCCCGTGACCTACCAGTGTTCACGACTTATCATCAATCAATGCCATAATCGGTTGTTGACCTTCCCATCAACCATAAAATTCGTTGTTGACTTAATTAGAGATTAGATCTCTATCTTCTACAATCCATTAGATCATTAATTGGTTCTGGATTTTTCTCGATGGATCACAATATCTTTTCAGCATATCTTCTTCATCTACATCTGATAGTCTAATTATTGTTTCCTAAGGAAATAATAGTTCATCTCAACCTATAAGAGTTATATCCATCAATGCAGTAACTCTAATCCCTTTCAAACTATTCAAAGATGGTAACTATGTATTTTAGCGAGCACAATTTATCAATCTCCTCTTTGAATATGATCTATTTTGTTGCATCAATGACTTTCTTAGTTGTTCATCAGAAAAGATCCAAATACTAGGAGAACCTATCCCACTAACAAATCATGATCACAAGTTATGGTTATAACAAGACCATTTTATTACATAAGTAATTTAAGCCTCAATCATTAGCTTTATAGTACCACTAATCTCTTTATGGAGTATTATAAGAAGCATGGTCAAAGTTACAAACTATCCTCACTAATCGCTCTCGCACTCATATATTATCTTTTATTTACTCTGATAAAAATAATACAAGAGAAAAATACTATTGCTAATTATATATAAAATCTAAAAAATATTATAGATAATTTAGTTTTAATGTGTTATCCCTTGAGTGATGAAGAAATCATTTTTTACATTTATATGTTATCCCTCATCGTATATACATTTATATGTTTTTTTTTTAATTAAAATCTATTTATAGTTGAATTTTTCTCTGAAGTAACTTGTGTTTCCATTAATCTACTTTTTATTTAAAAATATAAAAAACTCATTAATCACATATCATATCATATCTACTCCAACAAAAAGAGATGTCACAAAACTGTATCACAGCAATCCAAACCCTCCAAGAACAGCCTGTGAAATGATAGTGTTGCCATTCAAATGTCACAAGAACTAAAAGATGAGTAACTCCTACGACCATAATGCTGCACTTGGTCTGCAGCATTAATGAAGGTTGACTCCTGGGATCGTCAAAACACTTTGGTCACAGAAATTTTCTTGTGTGCAGACCATACGATGCTATGATCGATAACATAGAATGACAAGTACATGTTTAGGACTTAATTATTACATCTTAGAAGATTATGACTCCATCAGCAATGCTGCAATTTTGTTATGCATCACCACTTCATGAAGATGATAGAACACTATCAATGATAAGACAACAACTAGGCTTTAATTACAGTCTTCTACAATCACAAATATTGAGTATTGTCGCCCACTGACATTTCCACAACTCACCTCGATGCTTGTACTCATTTACATGCAACAATGTGTGTAGCTCAGATTTATTTCCAGTCAAGCATGTCCAAGAGCCACAAGACTTCATTCTCAGAGCTTGCAGCATCGCAGAAGTCGATCTCAATGCCAAAGACATCAGTGATTCTGAGGGCATTGTTCGCCATAAACAACAGGGAGACCCAAGCCCTGATTCCAGATACAAACGGATGTCCTGGTGCAAAGTTTAGGTAGTCATAAGCCAGTGCGCGGAATGCGTTGCCATCTACGTACCCAAAATGGGACTGGTTCACGATTCGTGCTATTTGATGTGTATCCTTGCGACTCACGAGGATGGACACGGTGATCATCCGTCCCAACGAAAGGGAGAATCTTGGCTCGACTTGCATTGTCATCTTGTAATCATCACTGTCCAGATGAACCTTGAGCGCATCAGGTATTCCAGGAGGTGGGTTCTTTATCCCTCTCAGGAGTGCAGTGCCGGAGACAGCTTCAGAAAATACCAGTCTCTGTTCCGACCAAAGGTCGATGTAGAATTCCAAATCATCAAAGGAAAGCCTTGATGGGGGAAGCGGCTGAGGTGGCTGGGATCTGGAGAAGGTCACAAAGAGGTTGTGGTAGCTCAAGGATGGAGGAGGTCTTTTGCAAATGGAAGGCCATCTCTTGGAGCAGACGCACTTCCAAAAGTAATCATCCCTGGCAATATCTCTCCATTGATGGCATACCAGCATGCAGGAAACTAGATCTTCACCATCAAGTAAAGGGAAGACAGCCTTCAAAACCTCACCAGATATCAGATCTTTGGTCATTGTAGATGGTGCTCAACAGCAAAAAATAGTAAAGAAACTGGAAGGTCCAAATCAAAATCCAAGGTTTGTTACTTTTATGATGCTGAGCATGAATATGGTGTATCAATACCAGATGTTTACCTGCATAGTAGAAGAAAAAACAGATCATGTTACCAAAAAGCCTGCCACAAGTGAGCTCCCTAGATCAACAACACTTTGAAGGTTAATGAAGCTGGTAAAATGGCCAGGTATAGATTATAGAAATTCAGAACTACCTGGGATAACTGTTACAATCTTGTGCAAAAGTTTGCTAACCTTGACAACAAGGTTAATTAAAGATAGGAGTTATAATGTGCAAGGTATCCAGACAGTGTTGGCACTAGTTTTTTAATTAAGTTCCAGAATCATATGGTTCTTGAGTGAGTTAAGGGGCTCATGACTGTCAGTCTTAGTATAATTGTAATAACAAAAGTGTAGGAGGGAAGGACTGAAAGTTAAGAAAAAAATTCTGAGTTGTATTGTATTTCATTTCATTCCTTTTAAAGATAACACCTCTCATGCATTCATTCACTGTTTTCCCAACACCATGATGTCATGAACGATATTTATCAGAACCAGAATGGATACCAAATGAACCGAGTGTTGGGTCAGTGTGCCATTGCTCAGCCCATAGGTCAATCAATTAGACCACATATTCTAAATTTAGTAAATATATACTACAGAAATGATAAAAATAACAGAAACTAATAGAAAGAAATATTTAACATTAACAAGATGCAAGCTAGCAACTTTGAACTTTACTCTGATTCTCGAGACCCTTTAAGATTTCTTTTTTTTTCCTTTTATCAATTTTTGACTGTCTAAAAGTCTACAAATAAACCCAACAATGACAATTAGAAATAAGATGAAGAGCAAGCTTAGTCGTTTCCAAAGCATTTGAAAACTGAACCAAAATAATTGGAATGATATGCTTTTCAAGTTAAACTCAGTAACTCAATGGTAGGAAAAGATTCATCTATCTGACCCAAATAGTTGGGATCTCATAGCTTACTGTTGTATGTTCATCCAGTTCACAGAAATTGACTAGTTGGATTCAATTGAATTCAGATCATTGATGTAACACCCTCATTTCCCAAATACTTGCCACTTTATGACTTTGTTGTTGTTATTGATGCGACACCCGGAAGTGGACAAAAACTAAGTTGACTTATAATGGTCTGATGGGTGGGCTTAAGCATTTTGGGCTAGTGGTTTAGGCCCAATGAAGTTAATAGGCTAGTTATCCCATCAAATTGGGTCGTTATCAAAAGTGACATAGTATTGGAGCATCATGAGAGGCTTGAGTAAGAAAGACTATCTGCGAATATGGGGCTAGAGGACATATCACAACGTGGAGTCGCTACCGGGCTATAACTCACCAGCAACATGTTGGGGTTTGAATAGTTTGATTCTAAGCAATGTTGAGACTTGACAAAAACATCAAGCTTTTAAGTAGGAGGGATTGTAACACTTTAATTTAGTCCATATTGAAAGTAGACAAAGATTAAGATTAACTTATAAGGGTCTAACGAGTATACTATTATTAATTTGAACTTAATCATTGTCCTATCTGGCTGAATCGTGACAAATGGTATCAGAGTCAACCAATTATTGGGGCATGGTAAGGCTCAAGTAGAAAAAACTACTCATTGTTGGAGCCAAAGGGCATGTTACAGCCTGGAGCTACCACTTAGCTATGCCTCACCATGCTAAGGTTTGATCCCGAGACTCTATTGGTCCTTGACGAATACGTCAATTCCTTAAATGGGAGAGATTATAACATCTCAATTTATTCCCACAGTAGAAATGAAAGTAAACAAAGACTAAGATTGACTTACAAGAGTTTGATGAGTGTGCTACTATTAACTTGGGCTTAAATATCCTAGGCTAACGATTTAAGCTTAATAAAGTGCATAGGCCAATTATCCTATAAGTCTACGTCCTGACAATTGACATGTCCAATACAATAGCTAGATTGAATTGCCAAGGATCTGATTTTGAAATTTTCCAATTGGATCATCCAGTCCAATCTAGTTCCGAAAAAGGCCACTATTCCATAAACTATGTCGAAAACATCAAGTAGTAGCCGACCAATCGATATAACTGCTATCACTATTTAGTATCTTCTGATGCATGTAACATCAACTTAATATTAGATATCACAAAACATTTCTACCTCACAATCATTCTTCTTAGCTATCAAAATATGATATTCATGACACATGCTTGAGTAATAGTGTCTTTTGTCATGTTTAAAAAATAGGTTGCTGCTTGAAATCTTTGGTTATGCTTCATTCAAAAATTTAATTTATTCATAAATGATGCATATTCCAACAAATTTATGCCCACAAAGGGAGATAGAATAAAGGCATGGTTTACTATGATTTACTTTACAGCAATAAGACAAAATAAATTGGATAAATAAGTACCCTTTTATAACCAATTTAGACTACCTAAAACCAATAAAAGATAACATTAATAGCAAAAAAAGCATTAATAAAAAGGGTGTATCTATGTGTGGCTACGTTCTAGAAGCAAACTACTGTGTGAATGTATTGGTACATCGTGATGGGTATCACATGAGATACTTCAAAATTCATATAGTACATGGGTAAAACCATTCATCTAGGCTACCTGAAAAATAAACAACAGTATTGATACCAATTTTCATATGACGAAACACCAGTGAAACTTGGTTAGGGTAATTAGCAAAATCAAAGAAGGGGGATGTAATGCACAGAATCATTTGTCCTTATTAAACTTCTTTCATTGACCTAATTGTATATAAAAACTTTTCAATTTATTCATATCTATCGATGACAAAAGCTTAGTATTCTAATATCGGCAAGGAGGCGACTTACCAACATTAGTGGCACAACACCACAACCTACCGAACAATTTTATCTTTGTTGAGATAATATTTATCCACAAAAGGGCCCCAGAAGGTAATCAATAAGGCTGCAGGAAAAAATAAAAATGGTTTTTGAGAATTTGCATGTGATCTATCAGCATCAATGAATGAGAATAAACCAGCGAAATGACAATAAGACTCGTCACTTGGCACAGTGACCAACTGCTCTGGAATAAAGATTGTTGAATGCTGTCTACATTTCAGGCGTATAGTCAAAAAGTCCCAAGTGACAGTAGTTCACAAGTTCATATGAAGATGAATTTTTGAACAACACAAGAGTATAAATAGTGTGGATATGCAGAATACACAGTACTGCCAAAAGATTAAAGTTCAAATCCTCATTGTTAATGTTATGAACTTATGATCATTTATAATTATAACAGACAAGAAGCATAACCAGTATAGCCAAAAGATTAATATGCAAGTCCCCACGGTTAATTTTATGATCTTACAATCATGCATGAGGGTAACAACTCTAGCGCACCAATCCTGCAAAGCAAATATCAGACAGGAAACATGGAGAACACACCTTTGGACTAGAGACAGTTAAAAAATCTGGTCTCCAGATCACATGATAGTTAGGCTCCAAAAATCACCCTTACTCTATTTTTGTGACTTAGGAATCAAGATCAATTTGTAGAATCTAATAACATAGACTCCAAGCCACAAGTCCAGAAATAAAATTGGAATAGCCTCATGCAAAATGAAATCAGCACCCGACCTTGATCGCATGTACTTCCACAGTCTTGTGCATTGCCAAATTCCAATTTTTAGGGCATAGAAATAACAACCAAAAGGCAACAGATATCGAGAAGAACTAAACAGCACGTCATAAGAAATAAAATGATGCCTTAAAGCAAATAATTAGGGTGGAAAAGACTTTCTTTGCTTAATAATACTAGAAACCCACAACGATCCAAAGATTTCCATGGATAGGAAATTTCGCAACATAAGCACCCCTAAAAGAACTACGAACAATCTCCTAGCAATCTCGCAAACAAAAGAGACTCGAGAAATAAATCGAAATCGACTCGAGAACTAACCTAACCCAATTTCCCAAAACGGCAAGGAGATCACCCCTAAAAATGTCGCAAATTCGAACAAAAGAATGGACCAAAGGGGAGTACCCAGGAACTCGTGATGTCCATCGACCGATCGGTAGCGAAGAGAATAATCCGCGTCCTCCGTAGGGCGATTGAACCTGGAATCGGCGATCGGGCAATTGGACCTGGAATCGGCGATCGCAGTCGCAACGGGGAAGCGTGGTGAACACCGTGGAATGGGGAGGCGACACTGCCGTTGGCGAGGAGCCTGCCAAATTAAATCGTTATCCCATTTACTACCCATGTATTTACTAACCATACTGTTGTCATGGGTCCCACATGAGACTTCTGTAGATATCCAATGAGCACGCTAGTAGGACTTCAGGTCGACAATGGTTGGGCTCGGAAATCACAAAGATAGGGCTAGGGAAGGGTCGTCTGACCAATCACAACCGTCCGATTCCTAGGCCTTCCATCATCCGATCAAAAGATTTTATTTGGGGCATTTTTGCATAATTTACCCTCTCATACATATGTAATTACCTTTACACCCCTATCAAATGTTAACTGTTATTATTACCACAGAACATAAATTAATAATTCGTTTTTATATTATTTTAAATGTGATTGAATCTTAATATGAATTAATATGATAATTTAATTTAATGTCAACCTAATACTAAGATATGAGTAGTGTATTATTATATAAAATGATAAGTCTCTTATTTTGAAAAAATCATTTACTGAAATATTTTTTATTTTTAAAAATTCAATCAATTTTATTTTATTTTTAGAATTTTTTATTATACATCAATAAAAGAAGAATCTAGAAAGTAAGACACCATAGGAAGAGCCCCACCCAAACCCCACCACCATGGGTTTATGAGTGTTCAAGAGCCCATACCACAACCAATATCTAAATAGTAATAATAATAATAATAATAAAATGAAACCTCAGCTAACAAGGAAGAGATAAATATTTCCTTGCCACCATCATCAAGTGTTTTGTCTGACACTTGTTCTCACTGGACTCTGAGGAGCTCTTAAACTCATTGCTTTTATGCAGTTCCTTTGCTTTCTGCCTCTTCAGTCATGGCTGCTGCTTTCCTGCTCCTCACACTCGCTCTCGCATTGTTTGGTGGTTCAGGTAAGCTGTAGGATACTGCCTCATTGTTTTCTTTTTCCTCCTTGTTTTGGTTGGTTTTCCAAGTTTAGGATCACATATGAATGGCAGAAAAATGGCTTTGGCATGGGGTTTTTCTTTCTTTCTTTTTTCGTTAGTTTCCCAAGTTTATGATCTCACATGAATGAGAGAATGATGGTTTTCTTCCCTTTTTTCATTACATCAACTAAATGGTTAAGGTTGTCTACCCATTACTTGCAGATGTTTTTTTTTTCTTTTGATTAGTTTTCCAAGTTTAAAATCACAAAGGAATGACAGAAAAATTCTTTCTTTCTTTTTCTTTTTGTCAGTTTTCTTAGCTTATGATCTCACATGTATGACAGTATGATGTCCATTAAATGTCCATTTTCTTCTGATGCTTCCTTCAAGAACACATTTATGACAAATTTCCTCGAGGGATAAGTCACTTCTTCAACAACTCCTTTCTTCTCTCATTACATGATAAGACTAGTACATAGAACAACAATTTGGTGCTTTTACAGACACTAAGGACTCCAATACTGGAGAACATTTCGACTTGTTATTCTTCTTCTCTCTTTTGTTCCGTGTGCTTGGTTTTCTTTTGTCATGGTTGGCCCCTTTAATCATCTTCTACCTTGTACATGAACTGAAATCTTGTTTCCTTCTTTTTAATTTCTTGTGGAAGATGCTGCTTGGTGTGTTTGCCGGTCTGATGTGAGCACATCTGCTCTGCAAAAGTCACTGGACTATGCTTGTGGAGCTGGGGCTGACTGCTCTCCTGTCCTACAAAATGGAGCATGCTACAACCCCAACACGGTGCTTGCTCATTGCTCTTATGCTGTGAATAGCTATTACCAGAGGAAGGGTCAGGCCCAAGGATCCTGTGACTTCGCTGCCGCTGCAACACTTACCTCCACAGATCCAGGTGATCGAAGCCTCCTCTATTACACACACTGTTTACATTACTTTTGCCACTCGAAGAGGCCATTTAAGAGGAGCAACTCACATTCTCTTCCATGTTGTAGGGGGGAATGGCTGCACATATCCTGCAACTCCCAGGTACTTCCCCTTGAGCTTGTACAAAACATTGCTGTTATTTTCTTAAGGATCTTTAAGTCCTGCTTTGAATGAAGATATGGAATGAACCTTTGGAGGAGTCAAAAGGTTTTGCTTTCCTGCCATTCTCAGCTTTTCTTTCATCCATCCCAAGGGAATAGTGTGATCTTTGTCCTTTTCAGCTTCCTGAATCCTCTCCCCCATACAAAGAGTCTAATTCATCACACTCTTCTTTCGTTTGATTTGCCAACCTTCTTCTCCTTGAAGGTAGCTCACCCTCCCGGTCCTGCATCTTTTAATGCCTGATCATCCATGAGTTATATGGGGGACAAGTGAACAGAAGAAGTGCCATCTAAATACAACAAAGATTGTTTTTTCCTTCTTGTTTACGTTGTTGTGATCAAGACATTGTTCCTCTTCCACTCTTTTGCCCTGCACCAGTGCTGCAGGAACTTCGAGCACCCCAACAAGTACAAGCAGCACTCCAACAAGCACAAGCACCACAACTCCTACAACCTTCACTCCAAACACAGGCACAACAGGGAGCACTGGAGGTGTGCTGGGAGGACTGGGCCCATCAGGAACAACCAGCAGCTTGGATGGGAGCCATGGAGGGATGCTCATGAGGGCAGAACTGTCCTCTTTCCTCTCAGCTCTCCTGCTGTCCTCCTTGATTCTGCTGAGTATGTGAGTCCACATATCTAAGCTGTCAGGGATCAGATCTTTTGAGAAAGTGGTAGTCCATGTGCATTTACCTAGAGACACTCCCCCCACTAGTTATTGCTGCTTAGTGGCTGCAAAGGGGGGTTTGGTTCCTTTTTTTATTTCTTTTGGGGGGTGCATGCTTTCTTTATGTATTTCTTCATAGACTCTTGTCCTTGTCTCTCTCTCTGTCCTCTCTCTGTCTCTTGTGCAATGCAAGGAGACAGTGAGATTTATTAAATACTTTTGATGAGGTTATCATATCCTTATTTTAGGTTAATGTGCTACCACTTTGTTTTATTTGAATGGTTGGTATAATTGTTTTTGATTCATGTGGGTTGTGTCTGCATGGAGTTCCTCCTGACTTCTGTGCACTTTCTCAATGGTCACAGGAGCTTTCTAACCTGGAGAATTTGTCTTGAAAGTTCAATTTATATCAAACATAAACCCAAGAAAACACATTTCAGCATGCGGATTTTAGGATAGAAGGAAACTTACATGCAAAGACTAACATTTTCAAATAGAATCCTTATAACTTGATTAAGATTGTTTCAAAATGTTTAAGTTGGTAATAGTACATTTACCTAACTATAATCATTAATTTAAAAGGTGAGATTAAGCTTACTAGATGTAAGCATAAAAAATATAATTATATTTTTATTATATAAAAAATTTAATGTCAAAAATTGAAATCAAATAATGATAGATGAGGATTAGGATTGTATCTCATTCTATCATCTAATCTGTAAATGTATTATCATCGAATCCAAAAGTTACGACGATATTGATTTATAAAGAAAATTATACTCATTTTTTTTTCTTTTTATCATTTATATAATCATTATAAACGATTAATAAGAACTAAAGTGAGAGTACAGAAAATATGCATATAAACGATTAATAAGAACTAAAGCGAGAGTAGAGAAAATATGCAATCTCTTAATGTAATATAACATCACTCGATGAGTCCCTAGGAGAGTTTGTCTATTCATATGCGATAGCAAATGGTCTAGGATAAATAATTAGGAGAGTTCTTCGTATCAACATTATCTCCTAAGAAATCTTATTATAAGTGGACTTTCTTTATTTTGATCGATAACCGTATTTAAGTGGATTTATAATAGATATTATCTAATTAAACATGATCACAAAATCTAATATTCTCTTATTTGATCTTGGTAAGACATAAAAGAATATAAAATTAAAACAAATAAAATCAAGGGTTATTTAAAAATAAATTTATGGATTATGAAGTTTTTTTTAAAAAAATTATATATGCATATAAATTTTATAAAATAGACTTATAAAACTAATAAATATAATAATATCATATTAAGTCTAATTACCAATGTGAGTTATATCAGTTATATGTCAGCAATGTTATGCTTTATTTTATATGTCATCAATGTTATGTTTTATTTTATATATCATAACACTCCTATAATTTGCTATTATATTTTTTTTACAAAGATCATGCAACGCTCGATTGTATCAGCTGTCAAATGTCAACCACCCTTAGCTAATTAGATTTTTTTTTTTTTGAGTTTACATATGATGCTACAACTACGAAGGTTGCCCAAACAAGATATGCCACAGCACCTGCACTATCAAAACTCGCTAGTGTTCGTCTTATTGTGTATATCTGAACCTTTTATAATTAAAAATTAAGAGAGAGAAAAAAGTTTTGTTAGAACAACGAGATTAAATATTTTATTTTCATAAATATAAATATCTCAAATTGAAAGCATAAAGATCGAAATACTGAAAGATAATTAATTATAAGGAATAATATGCCATTAGCCTCTAGTACTATTACATCCTACAGTATGTCTAAAAATTAATTTGCATATAAAAAATATTATTTCTATGACCGAAATCTTTAATAATTGCGTTACATATTATTTCTACAATGTTTTCCTCATCTGAAAACCTTCAAAATTTTCAGTATGCATATGGTCATAGATAAAAACTTGATCAAGTAGTAAACTGGCAGTGACGTATGTATGGCATTCATCAAAATGATACACGGGTGTACATTGATGAGTTCCCTCTTGAGTTCAAAGTTTCTTTTGATGCTTGATGAAATGATACATGTAAATACATAGACTTGGTGCAGTCTATGATCACTGAAAAATTGATTCATTTGATGATGAAGATGGAAAGGACCAGAAAATTTGCAGAGCCAAAGGAGAATATTATTTTTGATTAATCGAGACTCTACTCATTGAATCAGCCAACATTTACAATTTGGAGATGTAGGAAAAGCTTGTTAGGCATAATATATATATATATATATATATATATATA